TGGGTAATTTTTGCCTTTAATAATTCAAGCTGTTACAACAGTTGATATTGTTTTTTAAGTTACCCCACTACTGTCTTCAGAGTGGTAAAAAATCATCCCTAATAGTGATTATTTTATAAAATATTAAAGTACATATCATTTAAAAAGGGATTCAATTTCTCACCTTCTGGATTGAGCCATTTGGTGTCCTTATAAGACAAGCATACTATCAGTTACTAATAGACTCTTGGTTTCACACTTTCAATGATCAAGAAATAGAAAACAAAGAAGGAGTAACAACACTTTTACCGTCACCACATTCAGAATTACAAGTGTGCTTATTTACTTGCCTCTCAACCGCTAAAGTGATAGAAAATTCTGTGCCAATCTCCATCACTACAGGGAGAAAACGGGGACTTTCAAACTTAATAGAAAAATTCTAGTGCGTAGAGCTTTCCAGAGAGAAATTTTCTACATTAAAGAGAAAAAAAAAGGCTTTTTCACTCTATTGAATATCACATTTTTGATGACTATGAATAGGAAAAATTGCCAAATTATTAGGAGTTTGGTGAAAATAACTTTTACTTTATTTGTACTGAAAGTATTTTTAAATTTTAAAAAAACAGGGACAAACAGTATATACACTCAAAAATTATTCAGTAATAATTCAGCTGCACAAATATTGTCTTCCCATTTTTCTTATAGCTATTTGTAACCAAATAACAGTCAAATATGACAGACTGCCTTAAAGATTTATTTACATACACAGAATGGAGTAATTATAAGCTACCACTACGACACTCATTTTTAAGTTATTTAACTCTGTCTTCCTCATAAATAACGTGTTCGTGTTTAAATTGTCACTGTGGTGATTAAATAATTATAAGCCACCAGTATAATACAATTTAAAAATGGGGTTTCTATAGTCAGTTTTGGAATTGACATCTTATTTACGTTAATACACGTAATTTGATTAGAGATTTTGATAATAAAGGTACAGAAAACAACTGTATGCTTTTACAGAATTTAGGTACCTCAAAACTCCATTTCCTTTCAAAGGAATTTATAAAAAAAATGCAGTCCTGCTTTTATAACATAATCCTATATAATAAAACCATAATATGCAAATCGACCGAACAGTGGAACGACCGGTTGTTATGATGTGCACTGACCACCAGGGGGTAGACGCTCAACACAGGAATTGCCCCCAGTTTGGGCTGGCGAGCGGGTGGCGCAAGGCCGCCAGCCAAGGTGGGTGCCAGCAGGGGCCCCCCAATTGTCCCACTGGTCGCTCCACAGACTGCCCCTGATCGCTGGCCAGGCCTAGGGACCCTACCCTATATATTGGGAACAGTTTCTTACATTTAAAAATTAACTTCTGGGAAG